AGACTTCATGCTTCCAGATTCCCTTCCTCTTCTTTATGGTATTTGTAATGTTTAAAACATTCATTCACTGATAAACATACTATATGGAGGAAAGGATAAAATCTTTTTCATCAATTAATACTATATATAAGTACATTTTAAAGGTTATTCTGTCAGACGTTCGGGACAAGTTTGTTGGTCTGACAGGAAAAAAAATCCCGATTAAACAGCCTAGTTCCCTCAGGCATTTTTCCTCCCACATCTCCAGCCTTGACACCAGAATATAAAAGACAAAAGTCTCTTTTAATATGTAGAAAATCATGTTGTACCTTTAACAAGCCATAGATGTAATGGAACAAAAGCACTGGAAAGGAGCTCTCCACCAGTCGGAAGTGAAAATCAAAACAAAACAAATAAACAAAACAAGCTAACAACAACAATAAAACAAACAACACAGATGGGGGGCGGAGACAGAGGCGACTAACCGCCTCAGAATAACCGCCTCAGAAATAACCGCCTCGGAATAACCGCCTCAGAAATAACAGCCTCGGAATAACCGCCTCAGAAAAACTGATGCCAGAGGCGGTCTGACTGACCTCACGATTCTGACCAGCTGAGGGAGATAACAGATCAGCACTAGGTCCAATCAGACTCGAAACCACCAATGGGGCCAGAAGATAGGAGGTACCCTCTATACTTTTTTCTCAGGGAATTTCTCTTCTGGACCTCCTAACCCTGTAAGAAAGAGAAGAAAAAACTCTCCGCGCGCGCGCACGCACACACACACACACACACGCACGCACGCACGCACGCACGCACGCACGCACGCACACACACACACACACACACACACTCTAAGATGACGGAAGTGGCTAGTGCCTGATCCAGCCCTACCGCCGCTATTGGCCTCTCGGCGCTGTAGCTACCTATTTATAAAATCAAGATTAAAATATTACCCCTTTCATAAAATTGTGTGAGAATTAAATGAGATAATACATGTAAAACACAGTACCAGGCATATTCTCAGGCCCCACTCCAGATCTACAGAATAGAACCTCTGGGATGGGGCCCAACTATCTGTTTTAACAAGCCCTGCAGGTGATTCTGATGCAAACTAAAGTGTGAGAATTATTGCTCCAGGAAGAGGCCTGCCGACTCAGATAGCTAACCATGTTTTTTGTCATTATTACAGATCCCATGAATCTGTGTCTTCTGAATTAGGTGTCCTGCCTGAAACTCTGAAACCATCATTTGTTTATTCAGTCCAGCTGTGTGCCCAATATTGTGGCAGATACAATAAGAGACAGAGAATCTACCCTTCAGGCTTAACGTGTAGGTGAATCAAGAATAGGAAAAGTTAACTCTCAAAGCCAGATCTAGTAAATGTCAGATGAATTATATAGACAATAAGCAAATGCTCTAGGAAGTCAGAGGAGGGAAAGTTCACAATTATAAGAGGGAGGAGCCTAACCGGACATGGCCACTGCCAACCAAAGCCTGCCCCTCAAAAATAGCTGTAAGTCATTTTAAAAAACAATGCATTAGAACAGACCTTGTCTGCCTAATTAAGCTCCTACTTAAAAGGAACCTCCAGCAAATTTTAAAAGTTCACTTTCCTTTTAACAGCTGCCCCCTGAAATAAAAAAAAAAAAAAAACATGAGAATATTTATAGATTTTTTAAGTCTTTTATTTTCTCCCTTCCTTCTTCCAATCACTCAGAAACAAACAGCTATGCACAATACAGACATAAAGACTTGGCAGAAGTCATTATGTAGCACCTAGATGTTCATTCAGAATAACTATTGAATTTTTCACTTTAGTATGGTTGAGTGAAGCTGCTGTCAATGATATTGTGCATTCTCATGGCTGGAAAAGAATTCAGGAGAAAAATAAGTGTAATTCTCAACCGTATTGGTCTACAATAAAAGATGGCATCACTGCCCATTTTCTAAACGATCACAGTGTCATCAAATAAACTAAGTTAGGTAAATCTAAGGCTGGAAGACATTCAGTAGGACTAACAGGCAAACAGTGATTTAATGAAGGCTTTTTGTCATTATTCATAATAAACACATTGCAAACACAAATCCCATTTTTATTATTTTAATAGCACTTTCAAACCAAATGCAAACTGAGAGCATATTTAAAGGGTTGATTGGTACTGTTACTCACAAGTTGTTATGGAAGAGATGAAGATGTTTGGGTAGAATAAACAAGTTTAGAAAACGGAAGGTGATAGAAAAAAAAAAATGATGCCAAGACTTTTGTGTTCAACATCTCTATGTTTGACTCTTAAAGGCTAACCTAAGCGCATACTTTTCATACACTAATGCAGCATATTCTTTTTCGAACAGCCCTTTAACCCCATCAATTCCCACTTCTACTCAGTACAGGCCAGTTTGAGAGCTTTAACAGTTCAAGAGAACAAAGAGGCAGTGGATACACTGTAACCTATGACTGAATCATGCCTGCCTTGAGTCTTTCCTTACATTTTATTCGTTAGTTTTCTGTCCAAACGCTGCTCTTGTCTGCTCCTGGTTAGGCTCCAGGATGACAGAATTGGGGTGCCATGGTAGGGTTCTAATCATCCATAGCAGTTCTCTCTTTGTCATTTGGGGATTTCATAAGACATTTTCCAGGCCTGGATCATGGTTGTTCCCTTCTGAGCCAGGAGACATGAGCTTTTTCCTTTTTTTTTTTTTTTAATCTTAGGGATATATGTTCCTGTGCTAGGTAAATACATAAACATTTTATTTCTTTACTTCTTATTCCACAGAGATGTTCCAGACACAGGACACAGGCGCTCCAGCTTTTTTTTAATTATCAAAAGTTTCCCCTGACAGAAGGGTGGTATAGGAAAAATAGGTCCCATACTGTGGATTTTAGCTAATCACCATGAACAGAATCAAAAGTGTACAGCAGGGTTAAGACATGCAGTATCAGGGGTAACAGGCAAGAGAAGAAATGGAGGTAGAACCAAGAATATGAAACTACATTATTTAGGGGTTATCTCAAATGATTTTTTATTCAGATCATTTATTCACATGCACGAGGTTAAAGTCGAAATGTGGGAAAAGGACAAGGAGAAGACAAGACGAGATTTGGGCATAATAAGAGTCATTTGGTTGTAGGCTAATATTTCAAAGCTGGGGCTAAACTGAAAACATCTCAAAGCGTAATGGATGATTCTCTAAAAACTACTGTAGCCAACAATCTAGCACTGGCCATAATGGACCATTTAGAGTAACCAGAATTTTAATAACAGAGCCCGTAACCAAAATTTTAAAAACAGAGCCCCCAGCTTTGTGTGGTCACTGTTCCCTATAGAAACAGTGATGTCATGAAGTAGAAGTTCTGGTACCAGCTGGTGGTCAAGGCTTTAGGAGAGTATGGAGGGTTGAAGAAAGAAGCAACATCAGACTGGCAGTGTCATCACAGCATCCAAATTGCCAAAAAAAAAATCATTCAAAGGTCCTCAGTAATAGTCTACTCTGATACTACAAAGGTAGGGGTATCCTTTGCCTTTTTTATTGTTGTTGTTGTGAAAACACACACACCAAAACATTCGCCAACACAACAACTTCCACATTTATAATTCAATGACATTGATTACATTTTTCATGTTGTGCCACCATTACTACTATCCTTTTCTAAAATATTCCGCTGCCATTAACACAAACTCAATGTCTCTCAAACAAAAACTTCCCCTTTCCCTCCCATCCCACCCCTGGTGACCATTAATAATCTTTGCTTTCTATATATTTGCTTATTTCATATAAGTGAGATCATACAGTATTTGTCCTTTCACAACTTGACTTATTTTGCTCAGCATGATGTTTTTAAGGTTCATTTGTGTCATTTCTCTTTATGCCTTAGTATTCCATTGTGTGTATACACCACATTTTGTTTATCCATTCTTCTGTTGATAGATATTTTGGTTGTTTCCACCTTTTGGCTATTGTAAGAAGTGCCACAACGAACATTGGTGTACAGGTTTCTCTTTGTGTTCCTGCCTTCGCTTCTTCTGGGTATATACCTAGGATTAGGATTGCTGGGTCACATGGTGTGAACTTTTTGAGGAACCGGGAAAGTGTTTTCTACAATGGCTGCACCATTTTACATTCCAATCAGCAAGGGATAAGGATTCCAGTATCTCCACAACCTCGCCAACACGTTTTTTTTCTTTTTCTTTTTCTTTAATCATTACCATTCTAATGGGAGTGAGGTGATATCTCATTGTGGTTTTGTTTTGCATCTCCCTAATAGCTAATGATGTTGAGCATCTTTTCATGTGCTTGTTGGCCATTTGAATGTCTGCTTTAGTGAAATGTCTGTTCAAGTCTTTTGCCCATTTTTTGATTGGGTTGTTTGTCTTTTTGTTGTTAAATTGTAGAAGTTTTATATACATGTATATTTTAGATATTAGGCCCATATCTGATATACAGTTCCCGAAAATTTTCTCCCAATCTGTAAGTTGCCTTTTCACTTTGTTGATAAAGTCCTTTGATGTATAAAACCTCTGACTTCTTTTTGACTAGTTAAGGGAGTGTCTGTTTTTTTTTAATTGTACTTTAGATGAAGGTTTACAGAACCAACCAGCTTCTCATTAAACAATTAGTACACGTATTGTTTTGTGACATTGGCTACCAACCCCACGACATGTCAACACTCTCCCTTCTTGACTTTGGGTTTCCTATTACCAGTTTTCCTGTCCCCTCCTGCCTTCTAGGCCTTGCCCCTGGGCTGGTGTGCCTCTTTAGTCTCGTTTTGTTTTATGGGCCTGTCTAATCTTTAGCTGAAGGGTGAACCTCAGGAGTGACTTCATTACTGAGCTAAAAGGGTGTCTGGGAGCCATACTCTTGGGGTTTCTCCAGTCTCTGTCAGGCCAGTAAGTCTGGTCTTTTTTTGTGAGTTAGAATTTTGTTCTACATTTTTCTCCAGCTCTGTCCAGGACCCTCTATTGTGATCCCTGTCAGAGCAGTCAGTGGTAGCCGGGCACCATCTAGTTGTTCTGGACTCAGTCTGGTAGAGGCTGTGGTAGTTGTGGTCCATTAGTCCTTTGGACTAATCTTTCCCTCGTATCTTTGGTTTTCTTCATTCTCCCTTGCTCCCAATGGGGTGAGACCAGTGGAGTATGTTAGATGGCTGCTCACAAGCTTTTAAGACCCCAGACGCTGATCACCAAAGTAGACTATAGAACATTTTCTTTATAAACTATGTTATGCCAATTGAGCTAGATGTTCCCTGAGACCATGGTCCCCACAGCCCTCAGCCCAGTAATTCAGTCCCTCAGGAGTTTGGATGTGTCTATGGAGCTTCCATGACCTTGCCTTGGACAAGTTGTGCTGGATTCCCCAGTATTGTGTACTGTCTTACCGTTAAGGGAGTGTCTTAATGGTGAAATGAGGCCACAGAAGCTACTAAAGTAGCTCCCAACTGTCTATTTTCATAACTTTATTCAGTATAGCAAGAAATTATTTTGATCAACATTTCTGTTTCTACATAAAGCGAAGGATCTCTTGCCACATAACTCTGATTCTCTAC